ATATATATATGTATGCATGCATGCATGCATGTATGTATGTATATAGCTAGATAGATGTAGATATATAAAATCAGTTGTGTCAAACATTTAGCTCTCTCTCCCTTTTAAAGAATTGGAGGGGCATGAGAGGAGAAGTAGACCAACCTCCATGACCTGCGCTCTGTCACTGTGTGGTTCAAGCACCCAGTAATGCGATCATTTTGTGACAAGTAGCCAAGCCTGACTCCCTCTGGGAAGCTTCAGTTCTCCATGGTTTCACTGTGGCTGCTCTGTTCAGGAAGTGGACGCAGTGCCATTCCAGCCAGAGAAACCCAATCGCATTTCCTTCCTTCCTGTCTTTTTTGGACTCCTCACAGAAAGCCCAAGCAGTTGCTTTAAACCAGTTCGGCTGCTAGTTAAAGGTTAAACTTGTCATGAGAGCCACCCAGGGTGAATGTGTCTGTCGCTGTCCGCTGCTGGCCCCGGGTTCTCAGAGAGTTAGATCTCAGAAGTGGCCAATTTTGTAGTTTTTCACTGCACAGAATTGCATTAACATCAACACAGATACAGATGGATGCATGCAATAAACTGTACCCACTTGAGAAAAGCCTTTATTGACTCAAGTAAATAATGCACATTTCAAAGGATCTAAATATGCATTTATATAATGTGCTATAATTTTTTTATTATGTAAACCACTCACACATCCGTAGGAGATGTATCTCTTCCTCTGACATTTGGACCGGTACCATTCTTTGCGCCTTCATCAGCACCGTGCCCGTTCACAGTGGCCATTTTCCCTGCACCCGTGTGGCCCTCCCAGAACACATTTCATGAATTCACTACTTGATCCGAACCAGTGGCTTTCTAAATGATGTGAAGCTGTGATAAGGAAAGGAAACAGGAATAGAAACGGCTGGATGGAGGATGCTCCGAGCACTAGTGAAAGGGCGTCTGGCAGAAGGGGAGATGGCTGGCGTTTCAGCTGTTCTCTGTGTGGAGGAACAAGCCAAGGGCCTTGGGGTGACCAGTATCCAGCTTCACAGTGAGCTGATGGCTGAACTGGAAAGTCCCTAGCTCACGCCCTCCGCAGTGGTTTAACCGGAAGCCACAGGCTGGGTGACTTCCTGCACTAATTGAGGATTAATTGATCCTAGTAAGTCAGTCATCATAGAATGAATTCCAGGCAGCACCATATGGTCTAGGTTTTGTGTTAAACTTTGTGCCCTAAGGAAAAGGTAAATAAATTGTCTTAGTGAGATAAAGAAATGAAAGTCCAAATTTAAGTTGCTGATGATTTTCTTTACATTTTTAAGAGCCACAAAATGAGTGCAAACATTTTTACTACCAGTTAAAGGAGAGATTCCGTGGTTCTGCTGAATAATTTCCTATGTGATATTTTTGGGACTTTTACCCGCCGGGCCTTCACTAATGGGAACTTGTGCCTTGAGCTACACTCCCTGCTGACTACCATAGTGTCTTAATCTGAGTCACCAATCACCTCCTGCAGAGCATCTGAGGTGGCTCCACTCTGCCTCTTCCAGCCTCTCAGGAGGTGGACGGGTGGGTGCTTTCATGCATGCTACTGGGGATTGAACTTGCTGTAAGGCGGGGTCTTGCCAAGTCACTGAGTTGCCCAGTCTGGGCTCAGACTTGTGATCCTCCTGCCTCAGCCTCTGGAGCGCTAGGATTACAGGCATGTACTACCAGGCCCACTCCTCAGGAACTCTTGACTGTGAAGCTGCCGTTTTGTGTTTGACTTGCCACAGAAGTTGAGTGCATCGCCTCGCTTGGCTCTGTCCATCCCAGCCTAGTTTGGGAAGCACCACTTTCCACCCTAACCTAGAGATGATGCAGTCAGACACTGGGCTCAAGGTCAGAGCTTCTTGCCCCCAGCAAGGGTAACTTCAGTATAGTATGTAAGTAGAGCCTTTGGTTCTTTTAAGTCAGAAGCGTAGTTTCCGAGGTAAACGCTGATCAGAGTCATTGAGCTCTTTGGCTTCTGTGTTTGAACTCAGAGACCATAATGGAAGGAAGGCTCCACTCTCACCGTTTTCTACAAGCTGCTGGTGCCAGGTGGAGGAGCAGACTTTTGTTTTTATCAAGTGGTATGGTTATTTTTGAGTTTCTGTATTACTTATTCATTTGCACAATCAAACAATACTGTGGAGTGCTGGACTTGGTTCTGAGGATACCACAGCAGGCAAGGATGTGGGCGAAAAGCCATCTGCTGGGATGGGAGTAGCTGGGAGGAGAGGAGCTGTGAGAGGGCAGTGTGGTGAAGACTGGTCCTGCTGGGTTTTGTGCAGAATGTCCTCGATTGTGCAGTGAGCAGGAGACTTCACTGCTTCGCCCACTGTGAACGACTGGGCTGCAAGGCGTGGACTGGACTCGGGTTCCTCTCCAGAGCGCTGTTCCGCTCTTCAGAAGCCACCTGTGCTGCCACGGGCTGTGCAGTCCTAGCCGTTCTTGCCCTCCCTGGTCCCAGCAGCCCTGTGTCCAGCCCAGCCTCGAGGCAGAGTTGCCTTCTCAGTGGGTCCCTGTTCGTATCAGTAAAGTCTTTCTCGTCAAACACGTGTGTATTCCTGTGTTTCTCTTTGCAGAGACACGTTCTGTTCAGAGATTTAAACTGCAAAGTACAGAAAAGATCTGCACGCTCGACTCTCCTCCTTCGGAGAGTGGCTCCCACTCACCAGGAGGTGGCCGAGGCCTTCGCCCTCAGCTGGGACGGCACTTGACCCTCAGTCATCCTGCCAGCTCGACGGCGAAAGTTGCGTCAGAAAATTATTAAGCGCCTCACTGAAGTTTTCTCAGTGTTACACAGCATTCTTGTACAGATGAAATTTATCAGGGTCCAAACATAAGGGAGTCTTTTATCAGTTTTTATGAGCTGAAGTCCTACATTTTAGCAGGGGACACCTCTACTCGGCCTGTGGGTCCCTCTGCTCTGAAATTTCTGTATTGGCTTTGCAACAGCAAAAATTTGACAGAAGCCTTCTGTGTAAAGTGAGCCCCCAGTTGTACAGGCTCATTAAGTGATCACTTACCGCAGCCTTCAGAAACCTTCATCCTGAATCGGTCCCTAGAAATTCCCTGGAGAGGTGTAGAGCTCTCATCGTGACTTACGTCTGCGGCGTGAAAGGCGGCCCGGCCCGTGTGTGCAAACGCGGATTTGTCGTGTGTCACATGTTATATCGAGTCTAATCTACCAGATACATTCTTACTGCTGGCTTCACTGGAAAGGCTGTGTAAGTGATGAACAAGCCTCATTTCCACCGAGGATCACCAGTGCCTCGATGGCTGGTGTCCACCGGAAGCTCGGCCCTGGCCTGGCCTAACCGTGCTCGGCTCGGAGACGGGGGGAGGCGGCCGGGCGGCCCGTGTGGCGCAGAAGTCGCCCGCTCTCCTCTAACCTGCTGTGTTCTGTCCGCAGCGAGCCCGCACGCCACGCCGTCAACTCTGCACTTCCCGACGTCCCCCATCATCCAGCAGCCCGGGCCGTACTTCTCCCACCCGGCCATCCGCTACCACCCTCAGGAGACGCTGAAGGAGTTTGTCCAGCTTGTCTGCCCTGACGCTGGTCAGCAGGCCGGACAGGTGGGCTTCCTCAATGTAAGGAAACCTCTTTTCTCCAACTTCCTAGAAACCCTAACCGAATACAGGGGTGGGGCTGCGGCCTAAGGACCTGTGCTCGGATGCTGTGCTGGAGGACCCAGGCCGAGCGCGTACCTACTCTAGACAGCGGGAAAGGAACTCGCTCCGCTCAGGGGCGAGCGGCCGGGGTTTAACACCGTATTCGAGTTAAGTTGCAACTGTGGGGTCGAGGGCATAAGTCATCTGCAGGGTGCACTGGCAATCCCACCTCCTGCATCCCAACCCCAGGACTCATACATTTAACAAAATAGAAAGACCAAATAATTTTAAATAATGATCTGGGGTTGTGGAGAAGGTAGGGGGCAGCAGGGGACTGATGTTTCAGATCAGCTGGGTTGATATTTTTTTTAATACCACCGTTGGACACTTCCGATCAAGTTGACCATTCCTTGAACTCAAGATGCTAGAGGCACAGTTTATTATGGTTTGCTATTTCTGCAAATAGTTATCTTTCCCACTTATCTTTGCACAAAGCTAAACTATATTCAATAACTTAGAGTGAACGCTTTAATTTTTCTCAAACTAAATCACAATTTGAAATGACATTTCAAATGTGAAAGTAACTTTTAAAAAGCACAAATCTTATTAAAAAGATAGAGTTAAATGTTTATAAAGAATAGCTGTATCCCACAGCCAGTAATGACAGCAATTGGGGATGGCAGCCTGAAGCCAGTTGTGGCCCGGCTCTTCCCATCGCAGCTGCACAGGAAGCCAGGGTGGGCTGCCGTCACTACTGCCCTGCCTCAGGCCCACAGCACGAGGTCGCCTCCCCGGATTCCATCCCCGCAGAAATAAATGCCTGATTCTGCACATCTGAGCCAGAGCGGGCCCGTGCACTATGTCTGGCGATGTGTTAGCAGATACATTTCTGTCTAGACAACAAATCGATATGGTGCCATTTTTCCTTTTTTGCTTGTATATTCATTTGCCTGGCTTCTCCTAAGACATTCACTTAGGGCCTTCGAGTGCACTCAGAAATAACACACGGGCAAGTTCATGGGCCAGGAAGCTCTGTGTTCCTGATGGTAGACAAGATAGTCTTTGAGGGGCAGGACTAAATATATCAGTGCGTGAGGAGGGCACGGAGGCTGCACTGCAGAGTTACAGGCCTTTCGCTGAGTTTTGATTTGGGGCTGCAGCTTGTGTGTGTGCTGTTGAACAGCGTCACTGATGAAATCTGGAAATTCTGTGCAAAAAGCACTAGGGAAACAGAATCTGTCCTGGTCACCAGCACCAGCACCGACTCCTGAGTCCAGCCTGTCTTCAGCAGTCTTGACGTCATCCCATGTGACTGTCAAGTGCCGCGTTGTACATTTTGATCTAAGTTTTATAGGGTGTGCGGCCGGTCTCTTCACAGAGCTCTCCTGAAAACCTTAAGAGTAAAATGGATTTTATTGCTCTCTTCAGAAAGAAACTCTATTTCTTCAAGAGCCATTATTTCGTTGTTTTAACGCCAAGCAGCCAAACAAATATGACTCTCGTGACATATGCTTACGTAATTTAAATCAAAATTAGAAGTGATATTTTTGCCTAGCAGAGTTCCAGTAGCTGAATTTTAAGATTTCTCTGCCTGATGTTATACAATATGTGTAAGAAAAATTGTATGTTCACTTCACACGTGTATTAAATGTTATATAAGATCAACTTTGAAAGGTGAGGATATGTCCCAAATGCTTATTTCGGAAACTCATCTGTGCAAATAGACACTATGGACTGGCACCACAGTCCGTGGAACACTCAGATATTAAATACATATTTGGTAATTGGGAGAATGAGGGTGATCAGGTAGAAATTAGTACAGAACCACAGCATCCCGAGCGGATGTCGGCGGCTTGGCGAGGCACCCAGTCCTTGTCATCAGCAGTCACAGTGGGACCGGATGTGAGCAGGACAGAGTGGTCCAGGCAGGACGCATAGAACAAAGCAGGCATGTACCCTGCACTGTGCTTGCGCTGCCTCGGCCCAGTCTCCACCGGAAGGGCTTGGGAAGAATCCAGCACCGTGAGCAGCCCGTGGCCAACAAGGGCTATGCCTGGTGCAGCTCTGGGCTTGGAAGTGACTGCCGTCTGACATGTTTCTTCTCTCTCCTGTGTGTGTTCTGTTTCCTCCCACCCTTCAGCCCAACGGGAGCAGCCAAGGCAAGGTGCACAACCCATTCCTTCCCACCCCGATGTTGCCACCGCCGCCGCCGCCACCAATGGCCAGGCCTGTGCCTCTGCCAGTGCCAGACACGAAGCCTCCAGCCACGTCCACGGAAGGGGGCGCAGCCTCTCCCACCTCCCCAAGTAAGTGCAGCTGAGCCAACCGCAGGCCACTTCCCGAGCTCGGGCACTGAGTCTCCCCTGAACCTTGTCCCCACATGCGCTCCCGGCACAGGCCCAGCCTGGCAGTGGTGTGAGGAGTGCCCAGAGGTGCAGGCCATGTGAGGACGGCCCAGGACTGAGGTTGCCACTTGGGCTGTTCGGCACTGTGCAGGACCCGAGTGGCCCCGAATCCGCCCGGCCTCAGGCCGCTTGCCCGAATGGGCTCTGATCAGCAGACACCCCGATTCTCCCATGCAGCCCCGCCTTCCAGGGACTTTCGGTCCAAGAAGTTTGCGCTTACATAGGAAGCAGTGCTTAGAACACATCGGTGCAGATTGTCCCCGAACACTGCCAAGAGAGGGCACCGTGGAGGAGCAGAGCCAGCCCTGGGCAGTTATGTGGCCAGGTGTGGCCAAGGGAAGCAGGGCGTAGGATTGTGTGGAAGGAAGAGTTCTCGTCCTTCCTTGAGCATCTGGGAGCATCTTATCGGAGAGCAGAGGTGGCAGAACCTCCCTCATGATGAGACTGATGGCCTGGTGAGCTGGAAGGGTTGTCCGGCTCTTTCCGGTGTTCTAGAGATGGCACAGGCTAAGAATATCTTCAACACACAAGCTCATCTGTGATTAGGGATTAGTGCCTCAAGTAATCACCAGAAACTTGACGGCCGGCCCAGAGGGCACCACTCCAGAGAGGGTGGAGGTGGAGGGAGGACAGGGCCAGGGACAGTGACCCTGGAAAGCCTCGGCGGGCAGGGCCCACTGAGGAGGAGGAAGAGCGGCCTGGAGGCTTGGCCTGGAGTGACAGGCTGGCTGGTAGGTGAGGACCACGAGTGCGTTCCCAGCTGCTGAGCTTCCTGGAGCGTCAGGAGGGCACTGCGTGAGCAGAGAGCGTCCAACAGGGGCGCTGTTCAGGCCCCGCTCCCTGGGGTTGGCTCTGGGGACAGAGTCCACCATGGCTGGGTTCCTTGGCGGACGCCTCTCGGAGAAGCCTGGGTCACCCGCGTGTGGGCACGTGACGACACGCCGAAGTGAGCGGTGCGTGGATGAGCTGTCAGAGAAAGCCTGGGGAGCGGCCTATGGGACAGCACTGTGAGCAGAGCAGAGGCCTGGCCTCCCCGACACAGGAGCGGCCGGCGTGGCCGGCGGTGCTGAAGCTCACGGGCGCCCTGCGCAGTGCATCTGTGGGCAGCGTCTGCTGCAAGTCACAGACACAAAGTAGGGTCAGAAGCCACGGTGAATGCTGACCTTTAAAATGTATACAGGAGAGATGCGTGGCTGGGAATTCCCTCGGAGTCCTCCCTCACTTCGAGCACGCTCTCCCACCATCCTGGCCGCTTCCTGCTGCGGCTCCGGAGTCCTCTCTCCTGAGGGTCTTTAGCTGCGCTGTCGTGGCTGCCTCAGTGTCCTGGATGGATTCCGAACACTCTGCTTTCCTGGGCATTCTGACTCCGGGGAAGAGCCGGAAGTCACACGGCGCCAGACCTGGTTAACGAGGTGGACGAGGATGCAGCGTTGTGTGTTATGAGCTGCCTTTCCGCTGGACAGTGCTCGGCGGCAGCAGTCACTGTATTTTTATCACGCCAGGTAAAGACCCTCAGGAAAGAGCACTCCAGAGCTGCTCATAGAGTGGCAAGAGCAGTGGCACGTGTTCAGAGGGACGGGAAGGATTTTGAGGGGAGCTCGAGGCGAGGTGGCTTTGACTGTAGCGCACGTTTTAAGTGTAAGCCTTCACCGTATATGCTGATCCCCCTTCCGAGTGTTCCCAGCTGTGCCTCTCCCCTTGGAGTCTGCGCCTGGACCGCAGCCCATGCTTGCTGGGCTCCACATTCCCGCCCTGCTCCTATGTGTGTCGGACTCTGCCGCCGGCGAGAGCCTCTTGTCCCAGGCAGAGTCCTCACCGCCACACACGACCCGCTGCTTCGTAGCAAGGCTGTTTGCTCCAACGCACAGTTCCCCGTTGTGCGACGTGGGCAGTGACTTTGTCAGGCAGGGCGCTGCGACACCGACTCTGATCAGGTCCCTCCTGCCAGGTAGCTGGGGCGCTTTATTATCTGCCACTCTCAAGACAGGGCACTGGCCCTGGGTGCGTGGCCCGGGTCCCTAGGACCTAGAGAAGCTCCTGATCCGCTCTGCCAGGTGACACCTGGTCTCCAGTCCGTGGATGGAGGACGGAGGGTGGGGGTCCTGGCCAACCCCACTATTGGCGGCAGTCAGGAGAGGGCAAGAGGAGTCCCAGAGCTTGGTGTAGGTGACGTGACGATGAACCTGCGACACTAGGATGCTAGAAAAGTAAAGCGACCCATGGTGGCAGAGAGAGGCATACCTCGTAGCCAGGCCCTCCAGGGGAGCTGGATTCACAGTCCCGCATCGTTGCACCGAAGTCTTCTGCTTTCCCAGTAAGAGCCAGAATTAGGGCACAGGGGACACGCTTCCTGGGGAGGCTCTCGAAGCTGCCTGTCTGGTTTGCAAGCAGCTCAGGAAATGTGCTTCCCAACCTGCGTGCCAGGCACCGGTCTCCCTCACAGCAGGATCGGCCACACAGGCCTTCCTGCCTAGGGCCACCCTGCCAGCAGAACCACGACAGCACGGAGGTAGCATTGGCTCTGTGTCCCCTCTGGGGTCCTCAGAGAGAGACAGGAGGCAGGGACTGAGCTGTGAGCCAGGGAGAAGTTACAGGAGCAGGAACAGACACCAGAAGTGAGGCTGCACCTCCCTCACCCTCGGTCTCTGCTCAGCACCTTCCTCTTCCTGTCCACCCTCCTACACCTTCTCCTCTCCCTGTCCATCCTCCTACACCCAGCACCAAGCCTGTGCCAATGCTGTGCCTGCTGCTTAGGCATAGCAGAGAGAGGAGCTGTGGCTTCCCAAGTGTGCAGCTGGGGAGTGGCACGGGGCATTGCTGTGAGGGTGTGGTTGGTGCCGCAGGGGGATGCGGGGGACGTGGTCCGGACTGGGGCTCCCAGGAAAAGAGTTCTGGGCGGTACGCAGTTCTTCACTGTTCAGCAGTTTGGGGTGAAGAGAAGGCAGAACTTTTCTTCCGAACCTGGCTTGGGGTGGCATCTGTCATTGGACTGCCACTGGATAAGAACTTAGGGCGCTGTTGTTTCCCAGACCCTGTGATTTCTTAGAAATCAGTCACAGGTGGTTGGGTCGCCTTGATCCAAGTGGGTCTGTCAGGCTGGTGTCAGCACGGAGAACTGTCACAGCAGGGAGTGAGGTGCAGGTGTTTAGCACCGTGCAGTGCATCCAGATCAGGAGCCTTTTCTGGTTAGGGGCTCCCAGTGATTGTGATGAAATATTGTTTTCAAAGTTAAAAACAGGAAGTTGTGCCCAGGGTGTCCTCTTCACTAAGGTGGGCCTCGACTTCCTCCTTGCTGACCAAGTGACACAGGCACTGTCTGTGTCCAGTGACTCGAGGTGGCCGGCTGACAGCGTGCTGTGCTTCGATGTTAATATTCTTTAATAGTGACACACCAGTGGTCGCCAGCCTCGGCAGAGTACATATTTTTTAACTAATCAGTTGCCTCTGGCAGTAATAGTGAACTTTGCAGCTGTGGCTGGGAAAATGGTTAAGGAAGATTTGGGAAAAACTTTGCCTGTGAATTAAATACATTTTAATGGGGAAAATCCTTTGCAGGGCCCTAAAAAGCCCAAGGAAGCAGGGCAGGGTGACAGCCCCGTCCCCATCCCAGAGCACTTGTGTGCCACCTGTGTCAGGAGAAGTTGGTGTCCTGGGCCAGGCCAAGCGAGGGCACAGTTCCCATGGGTGAGAGGCTGTCTGTCCCCATGAGAGGACACCCTGTCCCACCCCGCTGTCCCACCGTTTGCTGAGGGACCTGCTGCCAAGGGTTCCTCGGGGAATCAGAGAGATGGAGTCCAGCCCCCGGCACTTGTGTCCTGGGCGGGGGTGGACAGAGGCGACACACAGGACAGGAAGCGCAGTATGGGTGAGGCTTGAGGGAGGGAACAGCCCAGACAGTAGCCGCGGGCATGGGTGCGCAGTGAGTAGCAGGATGGCTGCACAGTGGGCAGGACCCGCGTGTCCTATGGGCGGGCAGGAGGCCAGGCCCTGGATCTCAGCGGGTCACGGACTTTGCCAGCATGGAGCGCTGGCTGCAAAGACGCAGGGAGAGCAGTCACCCTGGGCACTGCTGGGGACACTGGCGCAGAGAGGGATTCTGGGATCTCCTGCCCCGCAGAGCTGTGCCCTACAGGAGAGGGAGACAACCACGGAAATGTGCTGAAAGCGGGAAGTCAGGGTGCTGGACGGGCCAGCAGGAGGAGCCTGCGGCTGCCCGTGCCCAGAGTGTGGGACTCACTGGCTCCCCAAGAGGGAGGAAGAGAGCGAATACCGGCGAGGACTCGGGGTCTCCGAGCCCAGCAAGCCACGGAGGAGCAGCGTGAGGCAGGGAGGAGCAGGGTTGGGGTGACGGCCAAAGCTACCCACGAGGTGCCCCTGTGGGACTACCGGTGTGCACAGTGCTCCTGCCCTTGGCCGTCGCTGGGACCTCCCGACTGACGCCAGACGCCAGCCTCCTACGGCTCCTCGGCCTGGTCCACTGGCGGCCAGACGGTTCAGACACTGCTTTCTGTGAACTGCACTTGAGGACCCACTTTTTATACAGCAGATTAAAACCGAGATCATACTATAAAAGTGGGCTTTTCTTTATTTCTGAAATGAAAGTTGGCAACTTGGACAATCCTTTTAAAATGAAAGAAAAACTTTTGAGTTATGGAAGACAAAACGTTCATGTTTCCATTTTTTAATTAGGAATATGAAAACTCAATGTAAAATTGCATAAAAGATGCATAAGTGTTTTTGGCCATGCCTTCCTTGCTCTGAACTTCTGGGTTTTTAGAAATGAGAATTCTAAAATAGAAACATGGGATGACGTTCCCTGTACTGTTTATCTTCGCACCTCCCGTGAACCTCGCCTGCCTCCGTCACGTGAATGGCTACGTTAAGCAGGAGCTCGGCTGCGG